GGGCAGTGCTGGAAGCGCACCACAGACTCCAGTCTCAGGGACGAAGCCCTGGAGAAAGTAGAATCCCAAATCCCTGGTCCTGCTTCTGTACCAGGTGTGGTGGCCCAGAGGACCTTGAGGGGGACACCCTGGCCCACAGTGCCTCCCTCAGGTGGAACCTCTGCCCGGGGCACGACCAGGCAGGAGGCGCCTGGCCCCTCTGGGCCCGCGGAGAGGGAATGGAGACAAAGACTCAGCTGCGTCCAGTGCCAGGGCCTCCCTGACCCACAGGCTGCCACTTCCTCATGCAGCAGAAGCTTGAGTGAGACAGGGACAGAGGTCCCCTCCCTGCAGCAGTGCACGTCCCTGCCCCCCCCAGCCCCACAAAATCCGCTCTGCCATGCCTGCCCACAACACCCTGGCTCTGCCACAGGCCACATTGGCAGCTCCCTGAGCCCCGCCCAGCCTTGGTCCTCAAGGCCCTCAGCCAGGTCACACACCCTGTGTGGCCAGGACAGGACAGGAGGCAAACTGCCCCAACAGTAACCCTAAACCCCCGGATCACACTCTGATGATGACCTCATGCCTGGGCTGATCTCCTCTAAGAACCTCATGACCCAGTGGCCTTCCAAAACTCCCAGCTCAGAAGGCTCCAGACTTGGGGACACTCAGACGTGGCCACGACAAGAGTAGCAGCGTTCCCCAGCTGTCTTGGTGTGTGGCCTTTCTGATGAACTAGACAGGGCAGGCAGGTGTCCTGGGCCATAGGTGCACATGGGTGCATGAGTCACCTCAGGGGCAAGGAGGGGCTGTCCCAGGTGCTCCAGCCGAGTGGTCCCCTGCCCTCAGGCTCCATCCTGCTGGCCAGGATTTTCCTCCAGCTTCTCTTCTTCCTCTGGCATCCAGGGTCAATGTGCTGAGCCTGAGCCTGGCCCACATCCAGCACACTGGGGTTTGCTTTAGGTCCCCTGAACTCATTCCCTTTGTGATAGGGTCCGGAGGCTACGCCGACAACAGGATCGGAGCGGTGTCAACCACAGGGCCGGGTGAGAAAATCCTGAAGGTGAACCTGGCCCGGCTTGCACTCTTTCATGTGGAGCAAGGTGGGCAGGCCACCCCCGGGCCCCTGAGACACTGCTTTGGCTGGTGGGAGGCGGGTGGAACCTCTCTCCCTGGTAGTGACACTACTCGGGGTGTTCCCCACCTGACCCATCTGTATCACTTTCCACTGTGACCCGTATCTCTTCTTAATCCTTCCTTCTTCCCAGGAAAGACGGTGGAAGAGGCTGCAGAATTGGCGCTGGGCTACATGAATTCGAGGCTCAAAGGCTTGGGGGGCCTCATCATGGTCAACAGAGCAGGGGACTGGGCAGCAAAGTGGACCTCGACCTCCATGCCCTGGGCGGCCGTGAAGGGTGGCAAGGTGCACTCTGGCACTGAGATGGGTGACACCACCGTGACAGACTTGTGCTGAGCTGGAGATGATGCCTGCGGGGCTGGCATAGCTTGATCAGTTAGATGTGGAAGGGCAAATTCACCGCGTCTGTTCCTGCTTTTGTTCCTGGTCCATGAGCATCGGAATGTTTGCTTTTGGGCTCACAGTAGTGAGACAAGCACTAACCTCAGGTCACATTCATCGCAGATGTGATCATTGCATATGGCAAGCACATACTAATGAAAATATTTTTTAAGAAGAAGCAAATGGCTCCAATAGATGCATTTGAAAGCCCCTTAAGGAGGCAGCATCTGAGCTGAGCTGTGGCCTGCACATTGCTGTAGTGCATTTACCAAGATGAGCATTTACCAAGGTGCTTCCACCACCCAAGGAGAGCAGGCACACAGAAGAGAGCTGCAGGGACCGATCGGCAGCCCAGCCACACCCTCACCCTCGCCAGAGCTCGGCGGAGCTGCGGCTGCCTCTCACACCCTCGTGTCACTGTAGCTCTGCTGAGCTGCTGCCTTCTGTCCCACTGGTAGCAGAAGGCTTGGTGAGCCCTACCCCGCACCCACCCAACGTCAAGAGCCTTGCAGAGCTTCTGCCTGCCTTTATCATAATTGGATCTTCTAACAACAAAGGAGCACCCATCTCTGACAAACAAAACAAAAAAGGGGATATAAATGAAGGACTATTTTGTAGTGAAAAAATATATACATATAAGTAAATACAAAATAGGATAGATATACAGCTACTTTCTGTTAGTTCAATGACAAGAAAGGTCTGTACTGATATGGTGTAGACATTGTGTAGACAAGATATCATGCCTGCATCTTGTCCTCTGAATAACTACTATGAGGACAACAATATGCAGTATATTAATTATTGTAACTGTCCTACTAACCTCTTTTGAAACTGTTTCATTGCTATTTTTTCTCATTAAAATGAATAAAAAATTTAAAAAAATAATTGGAGCATTCTTGAGCTGCAGCTTGCCTCCTCCACAAAGGTGGCAGCCACACGGACACCACACGGGAGGGGGGTCTGCAGGCTATGCTGACAACAGAAGTGGAGCAGTGTCAACCACAGGGCTGGGTGAGAAAATCCTGAAGGTGAACCTGGCCCAGCATGCACTCTCCCACCTGTGGCAAGGTGGGCAGGCCAGCCCCGGGCTGCTGGGAGGCTGCATCGGCTGGTGGGAACTTGGTGGACCCTCACCAAGGCAGTTTGGTGAGGCTACCCTGCCTTCATTGTCAGGGGAGCCTTGCAGTCCTGCATCCCACCCCGTGCCATTGCTGAAGAGTGAGGGTTAACACTGACACTTCAGAACGTCAAAAGGAAGCAGCAAAAGGCAATATCAGACCTCGAGCCTACCCAAAACAAGTCCAAGAGACAAAGTCAGGGAAGAACTTGGAAGTCACACAGCTAAAATTTCAGAAATGATAGCAACTGAAGTTAAGAAACAACTCCATCTGGTTATGGAGGAGATCAGATCAGAAGTAATCTCTCAGGTAAAGAAGGAAATGACAGCAATCATGAAAAAACTCAGTACAGGGGGCCTGCCCCTTAGCTCAGTTCTTTAAGTGGCTGTTTCAACAAAGCAGTCAGGCTCAGGTTGCTGTGGTTCAAGCCCCACAATTCTAGGCAGCCAAACCTGCCCTGAAGGCATTCGGAGCAAAAAAAAAAATCCTTATTCAAGCCATACAGTTATGTGTAAAAGATGGGCAAGGCAATGATCCTGAGAATCTCCAGAAGATTTTGAATCTAGCAGTTAATTGGAAAGATTCTCACCCTCAGTAACTATATATACTGATACCTGTGAACTAAGCAACTGCACTGAAAATGGTGATCTGTGGTGGTAGTTTCATGCTTGGAGTGCCTGTCATTCTGGTCTTCTGAATATGGGCTGCTTGTCATGACATGCTGTGCTGTCTCTCAGGTAGATGACTGTTCAAAAAGAAGGGGGTGGTGAATGAAGGCAAGAGATAGGAAAAGGAATATAGTGGGACTGTCCTGCTTCAAGGTTGTATATGGTTAGATTTTTGAACTTATGTGTAAACATAAGAAATATATAATTCTTTATGCCTATTTTAAAAATTATATTCTAATTTTTAAATGTTTTTTCATCATATTCTATAGGGACTTAAAGTTCAACATATCAATACTTGATGAAAAATACCTGTTCCATGTTATGCCTAACATGTTTGATATCCAGACAGATAGTGAGGTTAAGCTTAACAGCCTAAGTTGTTTGATAATAACAATAAGCTTGTCTTCTGGATGGTTACAACCTAAGTTTGCAGACCAAAATTAGAGAAAAAGGAGGGCTGCAAGGAAAGCCAGCATTTTGGCCCTAGCCTTCCAAGGTCACTTAAGACTCAGGACATATGAGAACTTGTACTGTAACATCACGTAACTCGGTAGTGTCCCAAATTTTCTGATCAAGGAGATTATGTGGCCAAAGAGGAAAGTGATCGATGATGTAGTGTGCCTAAGGAGAGTCACATGGAGAGAAAACACTCTCTCAGGCTTTCACAGAGAGCACATTGGCCAAGCAATGGCCGTGATTCATCCACATGGCTGACACTGACAAAGGTTCTACACTCTGAGGTACATGATCTCAGGATAAATCCTGAGGGGATTTCACTGACCTTATCAGACCCAAAAGCTACAACTCTTGTTGCATAAGTCCTGCTTTACCTTGGTCTTAACCATCCAGCAGAAAAGTATAAAAACAAAGTATAAGAAGTAAAGCCATGGTGTTATGTTGAGCTGTAGGTGACTCAGGTCAACAATTTCTGATATCGTCAGTGAAGCGGAAGATCCAATACTATTATGGACCTCTGAACTCTTTTAGGATATTTTGCTGAGTTTACACACCTATAATATTTAAATGATGGAACTTAACAAAAAAAGGAGATACAGATGAATGTCCATTTTGTATCTGTGTGTTCAAAGTGGTTAGGATAGATATATAGTTACATTCTCTTAATGAATAGAGGGATTAGTTCTAATGGTGTTTGTAGATGGGATATCAAGTCTGCATCTTGTACAGCAATTAACCGCTAGGAAGAATGTATGCAGTGTGTTAATTATTGAAACTGTCCTACCAATTTGGTTTGAAACTGTCTCATTGCTATTTGTTTCTCAATAAAATTATTGAAAAAAAGGAAAAAAAAAAGAAAAACTCAGTACATCTAAAGGAAACACGGATAAAATAAATAGGGGAGAAGAGAAAAATGATGGAGGCTCTAGGGAGGTAGCTTGGCAGTCTAAGTGCCTGCCTGGCAAGTGCAAGGGCCTGAGTTTGATCCCTGGTATCACACCCTGTGCTAGCCCCAGAACCTCAGGAATGCAAGCTAACCCCAAAATGGGCATGGTGGCACATGTCTGTAATCCCAGCACTGCGGAGGCTAAAACAGGAGAAATACTAAGAGTCTGAACTGTGTAGTGAGACCCTGTATCAACAATAAAAGAAAGAAAAAAAATTAAAAAAAGAAAAAAGATGGAACCATCAAACGAACAATACAGAAAAGAATTAGAATGCACAATATAGATTGAAATAGATATCCAGGACATTAAGAATTCCATTGAAATCTGGGAAAATCACTTGAATGAAGCTGAAGATAGAATTTCAGACTCTGAAGATAGCATTGTAGCTAGTGAACATGAGGGAAAGATCTCTTACAAATGACAAGGAACAGAAAATAACAATGCAATAGCTTCAAGATGATGCAAAGAAAAATAACATAAGATTAATGGTATCAGTGAAACAGTTGGGGTCTACACAAATGGCATGCAAAGACTTTGCAGAAGCAGTAGCCAAAACTCTCCCAAGCATGGGAAAAGAATCTGACATACAGTTAAGTAACACAATCAAAATAAACCTACACAGAGACACATAATAATTAAGATCCCAGAAGCTGAGCAAAAGAATAGAATATTAAAAGCTGTTAGAGAAAAGATCACCTATAATGGAAAGTCCATCAAGGTCATGGAAATTTCTCAGCACAGACCATTAAATCAAGAAGAATTTGGCATGGATTAGTTCAGGTTCTGAAAGAGAACAAATTCCAGCCCTGATGGATGTATATTGCAAACCTATCTATATCAAATTTAATGGAGAGATAAGATACATGACAAAGAAAAACTGAAGAAATTCACGACAACCAAACCAAGCTTAAAATATTACTGGCAGATATTTTGAAGACAAAAGTGGCCACATCTTTAAGACAAACAACAGAAAGGAACCACCAAGCACAGCAAACAATTAAACCAAGGGGAAAAGTAGGGATCCTATAGTAGGAAAATAACATGACGAAGGTAAGTCAGTACATATCAGTTAAAACCATCAACGTGAATGACCTCAGTTTCCCAATCAAAAGAAGCAGCCTGGTAGATTGAATCAAGAAAAAAATCCAACAATATGAGGTATAAGAAACACATTTAAATAAAAAACAAATTCATAGACTGAGAGTCAGAGGATAGAAATACGACTCCATGGAACGGGCACTCACAGTAAAGCAGGGGTAGCTATTCTGGTTACTGACAATGTCAACTTCAAACCAAGTGTGATTAAAAGAGATACAGTCACTATATACTTGTTGCGGAAAACTGCAAAAAGAAGAGATAACAACTATAAATATATATGTACCCAATGTAGGAGAACCCACTTACATAAGACAATTTTTAAAAATGCATTTTGGTATAGGGTCTCACTGCACAGCTTGGATGCATACTGATGCTTCCGTTTTCAGCTTCCCCAGCTCTGGGATTACAGGCATGTGCCACCAAGTCTGGTCTCAGTGGCTGGCTCAGTGCACCCAGGGGTGAGGCTGGTGCGGCATGTGGTGTGGGGGGATCAAGTCTGGGTCCCTGTGCTTGCCTAAGCAGGTGGTTGGTCTGCTGAGCTATATCACTGGCCTGACAAATTTTACCAGACATAAAAAGTGAAATCAACAATAATACAGTTGTGTTGGACTTTAACACGCCACTGTCACAGAGATAAATCAACTAAGCAAAAAATTGGCAAAGAAATAGCAGAACTAAACCAAACTTGTGAAGAAATGGACTCAGTAAACCTTTCTAGAGCGTTTCACCCAGCAACAACTGAGAAGAATGCACATTCTTCTCAGCTATTTTCTCATGGGATGTTCTCCAAAATAGACCATGTACTATAGCACACAGAGCATGTTTAAGTAAATGCAAAGGAACTGAAATTGTTCCATGCATATTATCTGACCACAGTGCAATGAAGTTGAAAATTATTGACAAAAGAAACAGCAAAAACTTCATAAATGTGGAAATTAAATAATACCCCCCAAACAATCTATGTGTCACAGATGAAATTAAAGAACAAATTAAACAATACGTACAACCAGACAAAAATACAGATACAATTTATCAGAACCTATGGTATGCAATGAAAGCTGTCTTAAGAGGAAAACTTATAGTGATAAATTTGCACGTTAGGAAAATAGAACAAGCCCAAATAAATGATCTTATGCTGCACCTCAAGCGCCAACAAAAAGAA